CTTTATCTTGGGTCTAAAGGAGTCACATTGTAGTGAATATCGAGGGCGCCCTCCGGGAAGTGGACGTAGTCCGAGTTTACCGTAACGCATTATAAAACCCTTGTGTCTGGTTTTATGCTTCTGCATTTATTTTCCTTTCGCGCTTATTTTTTGTGGTGATTTTGGTTTGTAGTGCTGCCTAAATATTTTTTAAAATACCAATTCACCCCCCCCCCCCCCCTCTCGGTTATCCTTGGGCCAGTTCTATAGGGCTTAACCTCCTAACGAACTTTCACAATTCCAATAAGAATAAAATTTCATCTTTCTACTACATTCCAACTAGAGAGATCTTAAAGTTTAACTTCGAACCCCCACTATTCTGTGGTCCCTAAAAGTTCATCATAGTTATATTGGTTTACCATTATGTGCTCACTACTAATAGTCTTATAGTAATCATCTAGGATGACAATATGTATGCCATCATTACAATTTCATTTCCTTCATTCAAATATGGTAATAGATTATTAGCATAATCGTAACCCTACTCGCACGTATCCTAACTCATAGTTTTGTAACCATCATCAACAACAAGGAGTGATGTATTGAAGGGTCAGGATCTTCGTGCCACTGTTGGTTTTGCATATCACTACTGTAATATCCAAAGACCATTTTTTTCAGGTAGCCGCTTATATTGTGTGAAGCTTTAAAGTAGTAAGCTAAAGCTTTTTTATTAAAAGGCATTAATTGGATCAATTAAATGTGGAATAAATAATTACATTGAGTTTTTTAATTAGCAACCAAATAGATGTTTTGGGAAACTATTGGAAGTCGGTTGTAGCAGTGGGACCACTCTTTTATCCATCTATGAAATCATTCATAGGAAACTGCGCTGGCTCAGTAAAAGAAATCGAGAATCCTGTACAAGTTCAGCATAGTGGTTCCATTACTGTAGCAAGAGGCGAGAGTTGGCTGGTGCGATATACATGTAAAAAAAAATTACTGTAGGAAGTTGAACTCCTAGACAGCATTCCTGCAGTGAAGTGCAACACTTTGAGGAAAGGACGTTGGGTAATTTTCTATGAGAATGTTCAAACATTGTTTGGGAAGATTTTCTGCGGCAAAATCTGAAGGCAATGGTTAATTTGATAGTACAAGAGGATTTCAACACTATTGACAGGAAGAGAAGTCAGGAAGTAGTGTAATTCATTTTGTCAGTGAAGGCTGTGGAGAAGAATTATTTATTAGGTAAGTAAAATGCGCAAGAATTTATAAGATTTTAAATATGATTAATATAGAACTATATGATGAGTGTAATTGATGTAAGTTTTCAAACTATGATTTGAAACAGTGAGGAAATTAAGACTAGACCTGTCAATATTGGACCCGACCCGAAAACCCGTCCGAACCGGCCCGAAATTTTCGGGTGGGTTGACCCGAACCCGAAGCGGGTCGGTCGGGTCCGCGAAACCGACCCGTTTACAAAACGGTCGGGTTCGGTTACCCGAGGTTGCCGGTACCCGAAAACGTTCTAATTAAAAAAAAATGATTCCTGGCCCTTCCCCCCCTGCCCCAGCCCGCCCTTGCCCGAGCTCCCGACTGCCTCGAGCAGCTGCCCCGACTGCGGCCTGCCCAGCGTTCCTTCGCGTGCGACCCGCGTGAGGCGTGACGGCTGAACCGCGTCCCTTCGCGTGCGACCCCACGTCCCGCGTCTGCTCAGCTGCGCAACCGTCGTCCGTGCTTCATCGCGCTCAGCCGCAGCTCGCCGTCCGGGCGCTCCGACGTCCGGGCGTCCCGCGTTCTTCACGGTCGCGCTGGAGTAGATTTGCTGAAATAGGTGGGCGGTTGACCCGAAACCGCGACCCGAACCCGAAGCGGGTGTTGGTTGTAGGCGGTAGAAATCGACCGTTGAAAAAACGGTCGGGTCGACCCGAACCCGAAATATACGAGGTCAATTCTGGTTGACCCGAACCCGACCCGTACCCGAAATTGTACGGTTCTAATTAACATGCCGTTCGAATTGAAGAGTGACCTAATCTTAGAAGATAGACAAAGGTAAATCCTAAATTTCCTAACTTTTAATACTAGCTCAATTCAAAAAGTTCTTTGAAGATCATAATTAGGTGATAGTAGGATTATTAGTCTTATGCAAAGAGGAGGTTTTGGAGTGATTTATAATAGAGAGCAAAAGTAAGAAGTGAAGGTTTGCAAAGAACAAACCGTCAGACGAACCGAATGTAAGTAATGCAAATTAAAAAGTATATTGAAATATGTAATGCTTGTTACTTTTGCATTATATATTAGTAGTTGAATGAATGCACGAGAAATGTGTATCACAAGTAATTTTCTGCTAAAGAATGTTCCTAACCTAGTTTCCATATATGAAAGACCTCTTATATATTTTAATCATGAAATTTCCAAATAAGAGTTGTTATGTTTCATTAAAGATTTTACTAGTTGGAAAGATTTTGAAAAGAATATCCATTCTTAACATATGATACATAGTTGCATATAAAGATCTTTATGAAAGCAACAATACAAGTATGAGTTATGTTATAAAAGTATATTGAATATCAATTTAACATAAAGTTTGGCTATATGTATATGTTGTATGATTTACAAGGATAGTTGGGACAAAAGGGTTCCCAAATATATAACTACCTTGTAAGTGGGACAAAAGGGACCCCAAAAGAAATGATACTTGCATAGCAGGTGGGGCAAAAAGGACCCCTAAAGAGGCAAAGGGGACCTCTATGAAATTCAATGGCGATAATACCAGGTTTTTCTGGGCTCCATTGAATTTATTTATGAAAGAATAGCCAAACATTTTAATGAGAAAATTGATATTCAGTATGGATCTAAGATAACAGATAAAGGTAATGTCAAATGAGATGTTTTGTAGTTTCTCTAGTAGTTAAATTTTATTCATGTTTTCCTGCTCTAAATTTTCTATTTATAACTGCATAACTTATTGAGCCTCACAGCTTATCAGTATTTTCATTACTGGCTGTTGTTACAAGAAAAGGTAAAGAAAAAGTGGAGGAAGATTGATAAGTAAGTATTTAAGTTTTATGTCAATGTTTATTTAAATTTTGAAATCTACTATTGAGGTTAATAAACTTGTTTAATGTCGTAATACTTTGAGTTGTTTTGGATTTCATTATTAGCTCTGTATAAAGTCTTAGATGTGAAGGAAATTTGGAGAATTATTAGATGCTTCCTTTGTTATTCCAAATGACATTTATATGATCTTTTATTTAGATCTGAAATGAACTCAACAGAAATTCGAGGTAAATGATGGAAATGTTATGGTTGTGTATGTAACACTCTACAGTATGGTTAAAGAGTAATGTGGGGTGTTACAACTACATTCAAATCATACATGTTTACTTACAAATCAATGAAAAAGTTAAATATTTGACAATTAATAACATGTTTAATGGGGTCAGCTCATTTGGCTCTTCTTCTACTTGAAGCCTTGAAGCACCGTCGAGCACTTCAAACCTTTTATAAAGGCTTGAAGAATCATGAATTTGGGAAGTTAGACGCTTAGTATTATTTCTTGTCACGCTCAGCTCTTCAACTTTCACATACAGGATAAGAATTCCAAAGTAGTATGACATAAAACAACTTTGCACACCTCATAATCTTCAATATTTGAAGCAACAAACTCATTCCTCACAGGCACTCGACCAACTAAGTTCATTGAAAACTTAGATACATCATACTTGATTGCTATGAGGATCCTTAAGTAATTATTTAAGTTATGTAGCTAACAATATAGTTATGTATTTATCAATTAAGCCTTTAACATATAATATAAGTTAAAAATAAACATCGGCTAGAGAAGCATCATTAAAATTGAATAAGTAAATAAAAATTTTTATGTAAAAAAATCCTTTAGAGAGTAATTATAGCGACGGTAAGAGTTGTCTTTCTACAATACTATCAGATAAATACAAATACAATATCAAATACAATTGTACCAATTTAACACTTTCTTATATATGGAGAAGCTATTGCTAAAATATAATTTAACACTTTCCTAGGATATCAAACTAAACTCTACAAAAATTTAAAATCTAAGAAAGTATATGCAAAATTTGCTGAATTCCCATATTTCCTTTTGCCAAATGAAGCCAACCTCTTAATTGTTTGGCAAAAATCAAAAAAAGAAAAACCGCAAAAAAGCCCTAATCACCAAGTCTTCTTTTTCAATTTCTCTCCACCTTCAAATGTTCTAAGCAAAATACTAAATTTACAACAAATAAATAAAGCTAAACATCTCATTTAAACATTGCTTACTCACCCACTCCCTCTAAGCAACAAAATTTTGGAGCTCGACAGAAGACGAAGGACAAACAACCGAAGGAGGAAGTTGAATCAACAGAGACGAACTCGAAGTAGTGGAATGTGGGTTTTCTACCGAGATTAAAGTTGCCCATTTAATGGGCGACTATGGCTCTACCAAGTCATAAAACCTAGCTATCAGGTATGACAGGTTTGATTAGCCGCCTCAGGCATAAGTTGTCCGTTAAACGGGTAACTTTGCCTATTTTTAAACTTTCTTTTAAACATAGGTAAACTCTTTAATCTATTTTTAATTAGGTCTACTTTAAAATTTTATCTCAATTTCGAGTCGAACCCACCCTGACACCTTGTCTCAGGTAACAGAGATGGGAGCAAGCCATGCTGGAGAGTAGGAGGCATGCAAGTTGAATCACAAGCATAGGAGTTTTATGGATACTAGAGGTATATTGTTGATGTGGTTAAAAGATCTAGTAGTCTCATAGATAAATAATGCAACTTATTTTAGACGGTTGGTTGAAAGCTTTGACTATCAATTAAGAGATCTTGAATTTGAATCTTATATATATAATATGTATTTGAATTTCACTTAATTGATATAAATGTCCAAAATAATAATAATAATAATAATAAAGTTTAAAAATAAAAGTTAACGCTGTGTGTAAGTCTCCAAAATATAATAATAATAATAATAATAATAAAACTGTAATCCCCAACCAAACAAACAGAGTAAGCGCTTCGTATCCTTCCACCACTACTACATAGATGTCCGTCGCAGTTGGCCTCCTCCCTTGCTCCACACCACCAACGTTAACGTCTGCCCGAGCTCAGTTGAGCTTCTTGTCATCTACCCATTTTGTTCTTTCTAACCCAAACAACTGCACTCTCGTTTGCCGTTCCTCGCTCGATGCATCCAAGCAACCAGGAGAGTTCGAGCAGAAGTAAATTTTCTCCCGCTCTTATTCATTTTTTGCTTAATAAGTAAGCCCCAATGTTCCTTCTCATGCTATTTTAGAGTCTCACGATCGATCTTGGTGGAACGATATGAAGATGGAAAGTCAAAGAGGTACTTGCTTTCCTCTCTTTCCACTTCTTCCATTTTACATTCCGGCTTTCTCGAATGTTAGGGTTTTGGGTTGTTCAAAGATACAAATTATTCAAAAAGTGAAAAATAAATTCTTTTTGCCGTTTAGGTTTTTAGACTTCCCAATCTACAGTGATATTTTTGTATGCTAGATACGTATTGGACACCAATCGGCATCTGCAAAGCTTCTGGGAAGCAGAAGAAAGATTATTGAACAAAGTGCAAGATGATGACTTCTCAAATCTATCTTTTCTTTTGAAAAAATTTGGAGATTTTGTTCTACCTGCATCTTTTCCTGGTAGTTTCCCCAATGCTGCTTGCTAAATTATTTGTTGCATTGTTCATTACTAAATATTTTGACTAGTTTGTTTGATGTTCAGCCAATTATTTGTTCTTGGCAATTTAATTTTGTATTTACTAGGAAAACAAATACTGGTGAAACTGTATGCAATTTTAGTAGATACAAAATTTGTAATATGATTATTTAATAATTTTTTACAAACCAAATGATGTTTAGGCATGTTATGTTAGTTCTTTTGTCTCTATCATGAAGGAGGATGCTTAAACCCTAATTTGTTCTTGAAAAATTAATAAAAATGTTTAAGATTTGTGGACTTAAAGCTTGGTTGTTAAAATGGATAAATGCATGAGGCATATTATGTTATAATATAGTATTAGGGAGAGTCATGGTAAAATTCATAAACTTAAAAATCAAATGATATTTAGGTATTGGTTGATTATATATGCGAATGGGAATGCTAAAACCCTTATCGGATTTCATTGTTTCGGCTCCCCTCAAATTCTTGATTTCCAATTTCAAAAATTTGGTACCCACTCTACTTACCACCGACACATACACTCTATGATGTCTTCAACTCCTTAAGTATTTTTTTGCTAATGGTTTTGTTGGACATCTCATCGGTGCCACTCATCCTACGGACACCTCCAATCCCGACTACAATCTTTGGTGTCTAATCAATCAAAATATGATATTTTCCCTTTTCCCAACTATATTCCCTTCGATCCTCCATTATGTTCTTTCGTCCTCCACGACTCAAGAAATTTGGTTGGTTCTTGAACGCTGTTTACAACCAATGAATCGCTCTCGGCCCATCCAACTCAAAAACGAGCTCCACAACGTTCAAATGCACGATCTCTCCATGCAACAATATCTTACCCAAATCAAAACCCTCGTTGATAATACCGCTGCATCCGATTCCAAGATTGATACCGAAGACATTATTCTCTACATTCTTAACGGCCTTCCCTCCACCTACAATTCGTTCAAAACTATTATCCGCACATCCCTGCATCCAATCGATCTTGACGTTCTCTACTCTCTACTATGCAGCGAGGAAATCAATCTCCATAATGAACAACAAAAATATTCAAGTTCCTCCTCTGATCAAATTGCTCTCTACACAAATCGCACAAGCAATGCTAAAGGACGTGGTTAATCTTGACCTCCCAAAGGACGAAACTTCTGTCCTCGTTCATTTTTTGAACCTACTACACCTTCGCAATCAGCTAACACAAGCTCCTCGCAACCAACGTGCCAGATATGTGGGAAACTTGGTCACTCTGCCTTTAATTGTTGGCATAGATGCAACCCAAAATACGTGTCCAGCACTTCTTGGACACCACGAGCAATTTTCACTCGACAACCCTCTCCCCCTTCCAATGACTGGGTTCTTGACTCAAGAGCTTCAACTCATCTCACACATGATCTCGCAAATCTGCAGCAATACTCCTCATACCAAGGTGTCGACTCTGTCTCCACAGCCAACGGCACAACTCTTCCGATCCAAAACACTGGACAGGGTCTACTTCCTCTGCCCGATTCGGCTCGTATGCTTTATCTGCATAATCTTTTACATGTTCCATCTTTGACTCATAATCTTCTTTCAATTTCTAAATTAACTGCGTATAATCAAGTTTCCATTTCCTTTAACACTAACGGTTTTTTCATCTCGGATCTTCATGACAACCGTCCCCTTCTTCATGGTCATCTTCGTGACGACCTCTATCAAATTCGGTCCATGCCATCTACCATAATCGCAGGTCTTCAAGCCAATACCACATCCTCTTCAGTCTGGCATTCGCGCCTCGGACATCCTCATCACCAGATTCTCTTTACGTTAGCTCATTACATTTAAGATTTATGTACTCCTCCTTTCGTCTACATTTCATGTAATGTGGCCAAGAGCCGCAAACTGCCATTTAATAAAAGTGATTTTGTTTCTTCTCGACCATTTCAAATAATTCACTCTGATGTCTGGAGTTCTGCAGCTCAACAATCTTTAAATGGTTATAAATTTACGTAATTTTCATCGATGATTTCACCAGGTTCCCCTAGCTTCATCTCATGCATTCCAAACAAGAAACTTTTATTAAATTAAAAAAAAAATGCTTTCTCATTAAAAATAAGTTTCATACTACTCAAATGTTTCGTTCCGATGGAGGGGGCGAATTTATCAGCAACTCATTCAAGGAATTTCTTCTCTCTAACGGGATAACACACCAGATTAGTTGTCCCCACACCCCTAAATAGAATGGGCTTGCGAAACGAAAGCATCACCACCTTTTGGATATCACTCGAACCCTTCTTCTTGCCTCTAATCTTCCCATTTCCTTTTGGGCTGAAGCTGTGACCACATCCAACTATCTAATAAATCACTTACCTTCCAAATCTATATCCCTCCAAATTCCCTATCAAAAGCTTCATGGCACACCTCCTAACTACACTCATCTCCGTACTTTTGGTTGTCTTTGTTTCCCATGGCTTTTTCCTTACGCTCCTAACAAACTATCGCCTCGCTCTCAAACTTGCATCTTTCTTGGATATTCTTCATCTCACAAAGGCTACTACCTATGTAGCACGGATACTCCTATTTATGAGGCATGCTGTATCGGACACGTGTCAGATATGGATACGCCTTCGATACGACACAGATATGTGTCGGATACGGCTTTGCCGTGTCCAATTAAAATATTATTTAAATTTGATCGGGCACACGTATCAAATATGCGTGTCCTATTAAAAAACGAAAAAAAATGGTACCAGAACTCGGTATCTCTCAGTACTCGGTGCTAGGTACCGCTCGGTACTCGGTACCACTTGATACCGCTAAGTACTCGGTACCACTCGATACTCGGTACCGCTCGGTACTCAGTACCACTCGACACTGCTCGATACTGCTCGGTATTGCTCGGTACCTCTCGGTATTGCTCGGTACCGCTCGGTACTCGGTACCACTCGGTACTCAGTACTGCTTGGTACCGCTCGGTACTGCTCGGTACCGCTCAATACTTAGTATCACTCGGTACTCGGTACTGCTCAGTACCGCTCCGTACTGGGTACCGCTCGATACTCAGTACTGCTCGGTACCGTTCAGTACCTCTCCGCAATGCTTAGTACCATTCTCAGTATGAATGCTCGGTACTGCTTGGAACTGAGGGGTACGAATGGACCCCCGACATATCTGCGACATATCTACACTTTTACTTAAAATTTTTTATGTTTCAAATTCATGTGGTTTAATTTGTGTCAATACATCGTAGGATAATGAGCTCTAGTGGCGTAGGAATTGGATCTGATGATGGTCTATCAGAGACAAATTCAAATTTTTTTGTCATTTCAAATATTATGCTTTGATTACTTTCTTAATTTTTATGTATGATTTATATATTATAATGTCGTATCCACGCTATATCCGTATCATGTATTTTTAAGAATTGACGTGTCCCATATCTGTATCGTGTCGTATCCGTGTCGTCGTATCCGTATCGGTGCAACATAGTCTACCACTGTCTCAAAATTCAAACCAAACAAATTCATATTTCTCGGCATGTCGTTTTCCACGAACACAGCTTCCCATCTAAACCAACTGACCCGGTCCCTTCCTCAATCAACTCTTCTCCTCTTCTTCTTGATACAACTTCTATCTTCTCCTCTACTCCCACTCAATTTCCCACTCCAACCATTACCTCTTCCACCAATCACACTACCTCCTCTCAACTGCCCACATCCATCTCTTCACCCACACCACCATCGACAAACCTTGTCCCTACCTCAACCTTCTAACCCTCTCACTCAACTCACCCCATGCAAACCAGACTAAAATATGGTATTTCAAGACCTAAGCAAATTTTCAATCTCTCGGTTACCCACCCTACTCCTGCCATTCCTACTTCCTACACTCAAGCAGCAAAATCACCTTAATGGTGATCCGCCATGTCCTCAGAATTTCTTGCTCTCCAGCAGCAAGGAACCTAGTCAGTAGTCTCTCCACCACCTAACCAACTAATTCTAGGCTGCAAATAGACATTTTGTATCAAAACTCACCCTAATGGCCACATTGAAAGATACAAAGCTCGCTTCGTCGCTCAAGGCTTCACTCAACAATTCTGCATAAAATATAATAAAACATTCAGTCCAGTGGCCAAAATGCCAACCATTCATATCCTTCTCACGTTGGCTCTTCATAGTTAATGGCCCGTCCATCAACTGGATGTCTCCAACGCCTTCCTTCATGAAGATCTTCAAGAAGAAGTCTATATGCGGCAGCCGCAAGGCTTTACTGATGCTCAACATCCGAACCACTTTAGTAAACTCCATAAGTCACTATATGGCCTCAAGCAAGCTCTTCGTCAGCGGTTTAATAAACTCACGACATTTCTTCAAAATTTCGACTTTGGGTTTAGTCATTCCGGTCCTTCTCTCCTCTTATATCATCATAAACATATTTAATTACACATTCTAATTTATGTTGACGATCTCTTAGTTACAAGTAATGATACCGCCACCATTCAGAAGTTGTTCGATCAATTATAATTGAAGTTCATACTCAAACAAATGGGAGCAGATCATCCGCACACCCACTGGATTCTTCCTTATTCAACAACACTACACCAACAATCTGCTTCAAATAGCTAGATTCACTGATTGCAAACCTGCTCCAACTCATATCACACCAAAATCTACCTCCTCGCAATCCTCCAATCAGCTTTACACAGACCCGCAGCGTTACCGCAAATTGGCTGGCTTACTTCAGTACCTCTCATTCACCAGACCTGATATTGCCTTCTCTACAAACTACATCTGCCAACACATGCATTCTTCAACAATTCATGACTTCCAAGCTCTCCAATGACTCCTCCATTACATCAAAGGCACTTCTCACTTCGGTCTTCCACTTACCATCGGCGATCTTCAACTTTGCACCTATGCGGATGCGGACTGGGCAGCAGATTCCCAAGATAGGAAATCCATTTCCGGATATTGCACCTTTCTCGGTA